TGCAGGCGAGAGTGCGATTTGTCCCGGTCCGGGGCAACCCTCTGCGGAGATCGTGCGTGTCGGATGCGCAAAATGCAGGCGAGAGTGCGATTTGGAAGCTGAGAACTGGCGACTTTGTAGTACAACTGTAGTCCGCGGAGCACTCTGTGGAGCTGGAAGCTGAGAACTGGCGACTTTGTAGTACATCTTTAGTACGCGGTGTATCTGGGGAGCTGGAAGATGAGAACTGGCGACTTTGCAGTGCGACTTTTAGTACGCGGAGCAATCTGTGGAGCTGGAAGCTGAGAACTGGCGACTTTGTAGTACAACTTTAGTACGCGGAGTATCTGTGGAGCTGGAAGATGAGAACTGGCGACTTTGTAGTACAACTTTAGTGCGCGGAGCAATCTGTGGAGCTGGAAGCTGAGAACTGGCGACTTTGTAGTACCACTTGAGTACGCGGAGTATCTGGGGAGCTGGAAGATGACAACTGGCGATTTTCTAGTACAACTTTAGTACGCGGAGCAATCTGTGGAGCTGGAAGATGAGAACTGGCGACGTTGTAGTACAACTTTAGTACGCGGAGTATCTGGGGAGCCGAAGTTGTAGTACTACTTTAGTACGCGGAGCGTCTGTGGAACTGGAAGCTGAGAACTGGCGACTTTGTAGTACAACTGTAGTACGCGGAGCAATCTGTGGAGCTGGAAGCTGAGAACTGGCGACTTTGTAGTACAACTTTAGTACGTCTGGGGAGCTGGAAGATGAGAACTGGCGACTTTCTAGTACAACTTTAGTACGCGGAGTATCTGGGGAGCTGGAAGATGAGAACTGGCGACGTTGTAGTACAACTTTAGTACGCGGAGCAAGCTGTGGAGCTGGAAGCTGAGAATTGGCGACTTTGTAGTACAACTTTAGTACGCGGATGAGTCATCTCTCGCGGCTGAGTCATCTCTCGCGGCTGCTCTGGTGCCCCTGCAGCTGAGTCATGTCTCCCGACCACCCGGCTCTCTTGAGAGGTTGACAAATTTTAGCTACTTTGCTTACTCATAAGTGGCTGCCACAAAGAGTCATCGTGACGGTAGTATGTGTGTACTTCACCTTCATGACAAACGATGTTCGCTTGGAATACGCGAGTCGCTTGTCATGATCGTGACGTCGTTTACTCTCAGGTCGCCCTGTTCGTGGAAACTTCAGTGGGAAATGTACGTTCTTCAGTTCTATTTGAACCTCTTCAGCGTTGTACTTGCACAACTAAGGTTGACGTTGCACTGCCGTTGCATCGACGCATCTACGTCTACACCCCCTCACTTCTCTCCATTTACATCTTCACACGCTCACATCCGCAGATCTACCTCTCCACCTCACCACACCCACACATCTGCACATCTATATCACATCTGTACATCCACACTGTCGCTCCTTCACATCTGTCCTGTCTTTCTTTCTTTCTACATATCTTTTCTCTCGTCTCTGTGCATTTACATCTTCGCACGCTCACATCCACAGATCTACCTCTCCACCTCCATACATCTACAGATCTATATCGCGCCTGCACATCACACTGTCACTCCTTCACATCCACCCTCTCTTTCTCTCTTTCTATACATCTTTTCGACAGTGCTGGACAAAAAAATGTCTCGCTCTCGGGCCAACCGTCGTCTAGTTTCCCTAGATAGCGAAGCTATGGGGTTCTTACTTCAATTGACAATGAGTTGCCCGTGCGTGCTTTCGAGACAGGTTGCTGTTGCTGGGTGCTGGCGCTGGCGCTGGTGCTGTGAGCTGGCTGTGGACATGCATTGGTGGAGACAGGTTGCTGGTGCTGGTGTTGTCGGTGCCGGTGCTGGTGCTGTGAGGGCTGTTGGCGCTGGTGCTGGGAGCCGGGCGCGGGGTGCCCGTGCTGGTGGTGCTGTGAGCTGGCTGCGCACGTGGGCTGGTGCTGGGCGCCGGGTGCCGGCGCTGGTGCTGTGAGCTGGCTGTGCACGCAGGTGGTGGAGACAGGTTGCTGGTGCTGGTGCCGGGTGCCGGCGCTGGCGCTGGTGCCGGGTGCTGGTGCTGTGAGCTGGTTGCGTGCGCGCTGGAGACAGGTTGCTGGTTGCCGGTGCCGGCGCTGGTGCTGGGGCCGGGTGCCGGCGCCGGTGCTGGTGCTGGTGCTGTGAGCTGGCTGTGGACATGGTGGAGACAGGTTGCTGGTGCTGGTGCTGGGTGCCGGTACTGGTGCTGTGAGCCAGCTGGCTGCGCACG